AAGCTGCGAATTGAAACAATGCAATTTAATAACAAGAAAATAATTATCGCACTAATTTAAAGCACTAGAAACAAATACCAATAATAAATTCAAGAAGCTAAACGAATAAATTGCCGGAAACGAGAATATCTAATAATAATAAAAATTGAAAAGCCATAAACCATTACTAATTTTGCATTTTAAATTAACATTGCCATTGCAGTAAAGGAATCGATTTAAACAAAGAATTGAGCACTAAACATTGTAATTAAGCTATCATTCACGTATCAACATTGAAATTAAAGAAATTACACCCCACACTAGATCGATTGTAATTAACAATGCGAATAAAACAGGTTGCCAAACTTTTTAAGGAGAAAGAAAAGAACCAGAAGTTAGCTACCCACTGCTCAAACTTTCTTCGGCCAATGGAGATTGTTGTTGCCAAACGGAAATCGTCGGACTGAGGGCCAATTCACCGACCGGAACAGTTTGGTGCTACGGAGAAATCGCAAATCTGAATTGCTCTCTTCTTTTCTCACCTCCAGAATTGATCCGGGGTAATTCGATGATCCCACCTTCCTTGAACGCGCATGTATTTATACGGTTTGAACCCAACAATTTTTTTCAAGTTCTGCGTTATAGTCGGTCAAAGCAAGCAGCCACCATGGCCGAACGAGATGCTCTTCTTCCGTTCGTTATTTTGCGGGCTCTTGTTGAAAGAGTCTCGACCAAGAACTAATTATTATTTTTTACAAATTAAATAAAATATAAAATACATCTTATTAAAAGCTTAAATACACTAGAGTCCATATATAACTAATCTACAATTACTACTAAAACCAATTATTATTATTATTGTTGTTGTTAGAATCAAGAAATTATTGGACTGACAATTCTTATAACAAAACTAAATTAATAACAAAAACAACTTCAAAAATTAACAAAATTAATAAAAACTACTTATAGCATTAATAAATAAAAATAGATAAAAAATTAATTAATTATTACAAATTAACTATAAAAAGATTATTAAAAATAGTAATAAAAATTATGTTTATCAATTATTTACATCAGTAATTTAAAGTATATAAATTTAAGATAATATATGCGAGATTGATAATAATTGTCAGTAAAAAATAAATATTTTCAACTTTGTAATTATGCAAGTCTAAAAACTATAGTCTAAATAAATACTATTTGGTTTTCGTGTTGCATTTTGGACTTTTAGGTAGCAATGTTTGATGAGGAACAATGTTGTTTAGGAGTATTGCTATGAAGAGTATAAAAACTACTCAGGTGAATTCAAGTTTGTACAGAGATTCGCGGAGACAAGTCTCGCACAAGCATTGGAACGCTCGTGCATTATTTTCTTTTTTTTCTTTTTATTATCTTTCTTTTTTTTCCTTCCTTTTCTTTCTCTTTTCTTATTTTTCGCACGAATGTCGCACGCCCGTGCCGACACTCGTTCATTTTCCCTTAGGTTCCACTTTTTCCTTTTTATTTCATTTTTCTCTATTTTTCCCAATCCTGGCCGGCGTTTCACTTGCCCTCTCCTGGCTCTCGTAGTTTCTAATCCACCCAATTATGATGTTTGACTACACCTTAGACATTTGGGGATATTTCTGGACAAACTCTTATTTTCATTACTTTCCGTACTATTAATTTTTCTTGCTTTACTTGCTTTTATAATCTTGTACATTTTATCTTTTAGTATACTTTTACTATTTATGTTTGCTTACTCGTCTAGCCTCTCTCTCTCTCATTCGCATATATTTTCCTTGTGCGTTTGTTGCATTGAATACATATGTTTATAGCTTGCAGTGTGTTCAGTTTGATATTTTTTGTACAATGGTACATTTCTAAAACGGCTATAGCACTCTCGCTAATTCTATTGAGCGAGATTCGTTAGGGAAGTTTTTTTCTTTCTTCTTTTTCTTTTTACTTTATACTATTGGGATAGTGCAAACCTACTTGGATTTTAGGAGAAGAGTGGAGTATGCGTGTTTCACGAACCACTATAAAAAATATCTCTCTCTCTCTCTCTCTCTCTCGGGTACTTAAACGAATCGTACAAGTTTTAAAAATATATACAAATCTATTCATCCCCTCTAGCCTTCGACCCTAACTCTACCGGGACCAACAAGTTGAGGGACAAATTTATTATATTTATAAGAGACTTAAACCTAAGTTAAAAAAATAAATATGTAATTAAATAAATTAGGAATATTTTCAATAATGAACATAACTTTAAAAATTGAAAATATTTAGTATACTCTAAAAAAGTCGCTCCTACCAAATGTTTTTATTTTATTAGGAAAAATATATCCCTTCTTCTTTCTAAACCAATTTGCATGTGCCATACCAATATATGGAGTAAACAAAGGACCAAAAACAGAAAACAAAACAAAACAAAAAAAATTGATAGAAATTTGGAAAGAGAAAAATTACTATTTTTTTAGTCAAATCAAATAAAAACTACACTATTGTTAATTATGTAGTGTACATATTCATGGGATCATCCTGAATATACGTTTGAAATGAGTGTTGATTTTTCTAACATTTTATACATTTATTTATTTATTTATTTTTGAAACAATATTCTCTGTATAATACAAGTATGCCATATAATGAAATAGAAATCACATATGCATGGTAAAGTTTGGAAGGATGTAGAGCCTTTATTTTTTGTATTAGTATTTTCACGCATAAATGCCCAATGATTATTTTTAAATAAGTAATTCAAAGTATATCAATGCAAGACTATATAAGAGACATTCATGCATAGATAATTGAATGTTGAATTTGTTTATTTACATCAGTAATTTAAAGTATATAAATATAAGATAATATATGAGAGATTGATAATAATTGTCACTAAAAATAAATATTTTCAACTTTGTAATTATGCTAGTCTAAAAACTATAGTCTAAATAAATACTATTTGGTTTTCGTGTTGCGTTTTGGACTTTTAGGTAGCAATGTTTGATGAGGAACAATGTTGTTTAGGAGTATTGCAATGAAGAGTATAGAAACTACTCAGGTGAATTCAAGTTTGTACCTGCAGAGATTCGCGGAGACAAGTCTCGCACAGGCATTGGAACGCGCGTGCATTATTTTCCTTTTTCTTTTTTCTTTTTCTTATCTTTCTTTGTTTTCCTTCCTTTTCTTTTACTTTTCCTAATTTTCGCACGAATGTCGCATGCCCGTGCCGACACCTGTGCATTTTCCCTTAGGTTTATCTTTCTCCTCTTTATTTCCTTTTTCTCTATTTTCCCAATTCTGGCCGCCGTTTCACTTGCCCTCTCCTTGCTCTTCGGCATCTGCATAGCCGCACTCTATTTCCCCTTCTTTTTCTTCACTAAATATCTCACCATTTTACTCACCCATCCTCTCTCTTAATTTTGCCTTGTTTTATTTTTTGATTTTCTTTTTCTTTTTTGCTTTGTGTTCTAGTTCGAATTTTCTCCTAGGGTTTCTATTTGGGATTTTTTTTGCTTCAACTTTCATCTCTGATGGCTCCTAAGGTATGTCTCATTAACTCGGTTTACTTATTTGTTTCAATTGTTACCCTTTTGTTTCAAATTTTGCTTTTTTTGTTGTTAGAGTATTATTTGTGCAATGTTCATTTTTAGTTTTTCATGTTTATGGTGTTCGTGTATTTTCTTGCATAATTAGTGCTAAAATTTATTTAGATTTGATACTTTTATTGTGGCGTCGACAACATGATGGGTGATTTTGGATTGGTGCATTGAACGATCTTTTTATTGATGAGTGACTTTTATTGTTGAGTGATCTTTTCATTGGAGAATAGTTCATTGAATGTTTACATTGTTTTATATTGAGGCTATTGTGCTTTGTTTATTTTAATGCGTAATTTTGGAAAAATCCAGTGCCTTGAAGTATATGTATTATTGAGATTATGTTAAGGTTAACTATGTTGTGGATTGAATGTTATCATATTCTATCTGGGTCCTATTGCTCAATAATTTGTGATTTGCTTGTACTGGTATTATCCATTTTACAGACAAGAAGGGCTAAGCAAATGGCTCAACGTAGTTCTCCTGCAATCCCTCCTAAGTTTGGGTCGGACAAACTGAATTTCACTGAGAAATATTTTGCTGAGAGATACGTTCTCTTCCAAAAGAAGCCTATCTTACCTCTGTTGCTGATTGACTTGGAGGCCCTTAAGCCTTTTGGGTTGGATATGGCAGTGGATAAGTTAATTGTAAGCCCAGAATGGAGGCATATGTTATTTGATTTCAAGGAAAATATCCACACTGATTTGGTCCACAAGGTGATGGCGACGTTGAAGGTGCATCGGCTTTTCAATGTCCCGAGTGCACTAGCAATCTCCTTTAGACTAGGGTCCCAGATCATGAATTTCACAATGGATGACCTAAGCAGACTCTTAAACTTTGATGCATTACAGGGCTACTCACTAGAAGCCAACTTTGAGAGGCTCACCTCCCTTAGAAACAAGAATGAGTTCAAGGATGAAATAGCAACTGCTCAAGGATCTCGCAAAGCCTCTCAGGTTCCTCACAATATCAGTATTACCTTCACAAAAGAGGAGTATAAAGTGGTCCAATATGTTCTTTCACGATCCATTTGTGGTAGGGAGGCAGGAAGCAAAGTGTCTACTATGGATTATCTTTGCCTATATGGGATCATCAAACAAGTCCCAATTCACATGGGACTTGTGGTAGCCCATCTCTTCCGTAGTCAGTTCCAACCAAAAGTCCCTTCGATTTATGTTGGGCCATTCATCACAAGAATAGTTCGGAATTGCGGGCATCAAATACCATTGAATAATCACATTGCTGGTTCGTTTAGAATGCTTACTCCTACCGTAGTGGTGAATACTTTGAAGAGATCACTGCTAGGACAAAAGGGTAAACGCCCAATGACGTCAGGAATTGAGGATGCAGCCACTGATGAGGAGGGGGAGCAGATGTTTGATGAAGCTGAAGGTTCTGGTGCTAATCCAGCTGAGGAAGAACTTTCTCATTTTGAGAAACAACTGTTAGCTAGACTGGATATTATGCAGGCGAAACAGCAGGACCAACGCGCTGCAATAAGTCAGTTGACTGAAGGAATTGCAAATCTACAGACGTTAGTAGTGGAGATCCGCAGTTTCTTCCCACTTGAGCAGCATGCTAGCTCGAGAGCAGTGTTATACCCGCATGAGCATTTCTACCCTCGTAGGGGACCATATCAGTATGGTGATCCTGGTTCTCGTAGTTTCTGATCCACCCAATTATAATGTTTGACTACACCTTAGACATTTGGGGATATTTCGGGACAACTCTCATTTTCATTGCTTTCCGTACCATTAATTTTTATTGCTTTACTTGCTTTTATAATCTTGTACATTTTATCTTTTAGTAGACTTTTACTATTTATGTTAGCTTACTCGTTTAGCCTCTCTCTTATTCGCATATATTTTCCTCGAGTGTTTGGTGCATTGAATACATATGTTTAAAGCTTGCAATGTGCTCAGTTTGATGTTTTTTTGTACAATGGTACATTTCTAAAACGGCTATAGCGCTCTCGCTAATTCTATTGAGCGAGATTCGTTAGGGAAGTTTTTTTTCTCTCTTCTTTTTCTTTTTACTTTATACTATTGGGACAGTGCAAACCTGCTTGGATTTTAGGAGAAGAGTGGAATAGGCGTGTTTGTCGAACCACTATAAAAATCTCTCTCTCTCTCTCTCTCTCTCTCTCTCTCTCTCTCCCTCCCTCCCTCGGGTACTTAAACGAATAGTACAAATTTTAAAAATCTATACAAATCTATTCATCCCCTCTAGCGTTGTACCCTAACTCAACCGGGACCAACAAGTTGAGAGACAAATTTATTATATTTATAAGAGACTTAACCTAAGTTAAAAAAATAAATATGTAATTAAATAAATTAGGTAGATTTTCAATAATGAACAAAACTTTAAAAAAATGAAAATATTTAGTATACTCTAAAAAAAGTTGCTCCTACCAAATTTTTTATTTTATTAGGAAAAATATATCACTTCTTCTTTCTAAACCAGTTTGAATGTGCCACACCAATATGGAATAAACAAAGGACAAAAACTAAAAAAAAAAAAAAACAAAATAAAACAAAAAAATTTATAGAAATTTGGAAAGAGAAAAATTACTAAATTTTTTAGTCAAATCAAATAAAAACTACACTATTATTATCTTGTGTACATATTCATGGGATCATCCTGAATATACGGTTGAAATGAGTGTTGTTATATATATATATATATATATATATATATATATATATATATATATATATATATATATATATATATATATATTTATTTATTTATTTATTTATTTATTTATTTATTTATTTATTTTTGAATGAATATCCTCTCTATAATACAAGTATGGCATATAGTGGAATAGAAATCACATATGCATGATAAATAAAGTTTAGAAGGATGTAGAGCCTTTATTTTTTGTACTTGTATTTTCACGCGCAAATATCCAATGATTATTTTTAAATAAGTAATTCAAAGTATATCAATGCAAGACTATATAAGAGACATTCATGCATAGATAATTGAATGTTGAATTTGTTTATTTACATCAGTAATTTAAAGTATATAAATTGTGAGATAATATATGAGAGATTGATAATAATTGTCAGTAAAATAAATATTTTTCAACTTTGTAATTATGCCAGCCTAAATACTTAGTCTAAAAAACTATAGTCTAAATAAATACTATTTTTTTGTTTATATTTCTATAAGTCTTCTTAATTCTCTATTTGGGTAGCGTTGTCATTGTCTTCATCTTCAGTACTTGTCATTTTCTTTTTTATTGGTAGTGTGTCATGTAAAGGTACTGAACAAAATATTAATATTTATTATATAATATTTATTATATTTGTATAAAATATTTGATAAATAAATATACAACATATTTTGTATTATAACTTCGATATTTAATTACGAGATAGTGTAAAAAAAAAAGACAATGGACAATGTAGTAAATATGATTAATTAATGAATTTGAAAGTAATGAATCTTTGAATTGTAGAAAGTAAAGATAATATAACTAATGAAATTATATATGTTTTTAATTTTTTTTTATAATGAATAACTTTTTTTTTTAGTAACGGTATTATAGACATCTAATTCTAAATTAATTAAATGCATATGTAAAATTGTTTTAAAAAAACGCAAGAAAATGATTTTCAAGGTTCCTGATTTATAATCTTTGATGCTCAACTCTGAATGCTATGTATTTAGTCGTGCTAATTATTTGACCAAAGTTTATGTTAAATTTTATATTAGTCTTCAAAAAAATGTTACATTTTATATTGTATTTTTTTAAAACATATTCGTAGTATGTGTTTAACAATTATGATTGGGATGAGGTTCGAAGGCCTTTCTTATAGAAACTAATGAGTAATTTAATAATAATAAATAGTTAACGTAATATTTCGTTACTAAAGTTTATTCTAATAGAATGCATGGTTATTTAAGGGAAGAAAATAATATAATAGAGAATAAATAAGGAAAATCGTAAAAAATAGTAAAATCAAAATAACATGAATTATTCATTTCAACAAATAATTACACTAACATTTTTTTTCTCCCGTTAAGGGCCTAACTTTATTGGCTTAGATAGTGAATGTGATTTTTCCTTGATAATAGAGTGGAACATGCTCTTACAACCACTCATTAGGTGAGAACATGAGAATTAATATATATATATATATATATATATATATATATATATATATATATATATATATATATATATATATATATATATATATATATATATATATACTAGTAATTGTCTCGTGCGATGCACGAACTATTATTAATTTAACAAATTTACCAATTAAATTTTTGAAATCCACTGAATTAGCAAAGAAAGTAATGGTTGTGAAAACATAAAAACGTACTTGAGTTCTTGAGCTCAAAATTAGTTTGATTAAAAATGTAAGTATAACTATACAATGTAATATTTAATATTTTTAAAAGTTTAATTATGCTATTATTATGTTGATTTTAAAGTTTATTGTTACTTGTTTTATTATTTGAATTTGAATTTTTTAAAAAAGGAATTTGAATTTTAATTTGAAATAACTACTTTAATTATATAACTAAAGCATTTAAATAAAACTTGAAAATAAAATAAAAGGCGATATTTGTCAAAAATCTTCACCAAAAATTTATTCATTTGAAAAAGATTATTTAAGTAAGAACTATATTTATTTTATATCTAATTTTTCTTCTTTATATATGTGGAGTCAAATTAATTATAATTGAGCTTTAATTGGATTTAAATGAATATATTAAATATATTTACAAGTAATTTATTAAATTCTCAATTCTTCATTATGTTTTTTCTTTTTAATGTTTGTATATAATAAAGATATATTGGAGAGTTTTTAAAATTTCATTAAAAAGTTTAAATGAACCAAATATCTTAATTAATTACTTTTTTTTAAGTAATTTAATTATTATGTTTTCATGTAACTCTAAACATGATAATTTATTTTGTCTTCTAAAGTTATTTTTATCAAATATATTTCTTAAAAATATTTATTCAGAATAATTGATGGAAAGCATCAAACGTGGTATAAAAAGTAGTGCGGTGATTTTATGTTTAAAGTGGACAAATTCTTGTACACATTGATATTTGGTTATGTCTGCTGAGACATTGAGTAATCACGACTTATATCTATGTCGGGTCGGGGTGTGAAAGACCTTAGAGTTGGAGATTATTCAATCTTTTGGGGAGAAGGTAGTGTTGTGATATTCTTTTGAAATATGGAGTAAGTAATCGAATAAAGGAAAAATGTAGGAACGAAAAAGACAAGTATGAGGTAAAAGCCGTTTTTCAAAACCCTGAGGGAGGGTCTGAAACAAAAACCTCAATATTGCAGAGAGCGGAAAAGCCGCCACTGTTCTCTCAAGCGAAGCAGGCACCACCACCGCACCTGTACTTTGTTGTTTCGATCCCGAAGGTCGAACATGTCAGCTAAATGGAGAGCCTTGCAGCATCGCCACCGTTACACGTACAGCGCCGTGGTTTTCCCACAAGATTTCACTGAGGCATTGGAACAAACACCTTCCTCTCGTTTCTTCTCCGAACTAAAACAGTTGGTGTCTTTAACTTCCACATATGCCCAACTCATCCATGCTAAGAATCTGGCCTCTGCTTTCTCGGACTTGCAGTCCAACAGTAATTCCGACGAGGGTTCCATCGCTTTGGCTTCAAGGTTATACTTGGAGATACTTTTCTTAGAGAATTCCTCGCCTCTGCATAGAGCTTTGATATCTGTTCTTCCAAAATGCAAGAACTTCCAGACTCTGATCCGGAACTGTTTCCGAGAACTGTGCCAGGAGTATGGAGGTGTGAATGGGAAAGGGAAGAGGTTCTGCGTTTCACGAGCTGCGTTGTCCATGATGGGTACTCCAAAGCTGGGGTACTTGGTGGAAATTATTGAAGAATGCGCAGTTTTGGTGTGCTTGGATGTGCTGTCTGGGTTGAATTATGTGGTGTCTGAGAGTAGTGAGTGGTCTAGGCCTTCACCCCTTGTTATGGAACAATGTCAGGATGCTCTTTCTTGTTTGTACTACTTGCTTCAGCGGTTTCCTGCAAAAATTGTTGATGCAGATGCCAATCAAGACCTCCTAGTTTGCAAAAAATCAAGTCTTCTTGAGACGATTATGACTACTCTTATGAGTATTTTGAATTCAGACGCATTTTCCAGAGATTGTTTTGTGGCAGCTGGGGTCAGTTTTTGTGCTGCTCTGCAGGTGTGTCTTTGCCCTGAAGAGCTTGGTTCATTCATAATGGAAGGAATTTTTAATCAGACTTCCATTTCATGCTCCAAGTTTGAGTTAAAGGATGTAAAGGACACAATTTCATGGAAGGAAAAATTGGTTAGCAATATCCAAAAATTATCTGCACTAAGTAGACTTTGTTTGATCAGAGGGATTTTAACAGCAGTTTCAAGAACAGTACTGAATATCTTTTTTGTTGTATCGAATGATGGTTATGATGGTCTGGGTAATCCTGGAAATAATGATAGCTCAGTTAAGACAATTCTTTATGATGGGATTCTGTCAGAGCTGTGTAATTTTTGTGAGCATCCAACTGACAGTCATTTTAATTTCCATGCATTAACAGTGATGCAAATTTGCTTGCAGCAGATAAAAACATCAATGCAGGGAACTGATGGCTATATTGAAGAAGGTTATGATCCAATCTCAGAGGAGGTTGGAACAAGGGTATTGAAAATTGTATGGAATAATTTGGAAGATCCTTTAAGTCAAACTGTCAAACAAGTTCACCTTATATTTGATCTCTTCTTAGATATTCAGGGAACCCTTCATTGGGCAGAGGGCAGTGAGAAATTCTGCTCGTTCTTGAGGAAAATTGCTTCTGATCTTCTTCACCTGGGACCACGCTGCAAAGGACGATATATTCCATTAGCCTCCCTTACCAAGAGGTTGGGGGCAAAGAGTATCTTAGATATGAGCCCTGGCTTGTTATTTGATACAACAAAGGCATATGTTGATGACGATGTGTGTTCTGCTGCAACAACATTCCTGAAGTGTTTCCTTGAGTGCTTGCGTGATGAGTATTGGAGTACTGATGGGGTTGAAGGTGGGTATATCAAATATAGAGCTCACTGCTTGCTTCCGATTTTGTCTGGACTCTCTTCTGGATTTGCAAAGCTACGCTCTAATTTGAACACATATGCTTTACCAGTTTTACTTGAACTGGATGTTGACAGTATATTTCCAATGCTTGGTTTTATTGGCATTGGATGTAGTGCAGAGAGCACAGAAATTTTTTATCCTGAGCTAGATTCTAGGGATATAGTACTCGGAGTTGAACAGCGGGTGGCTGTCTTGGTTTCACTGCTCAAGGTTTCTCGTATGCTTGCATTGATTGAAGGGGACATTGATTGGTGTGAATATTCTTCTGTAGCCTTGGAAGTCACAGATCTGAGTACTGATGCTGGTGTTTGTGACTCTGTTGTCCACGTAAAGGGGATTGAAGTTAAAATTCCAGTTAATTATCTACTATTAGCACTTACCCATATTGATGACTCACTTCGCATAGATGCAGCAGAATCTTTATTCATAAATCCAAAAACTGCCAGTTTGCCATCTTCTTTGGAATTGAGTCTGATGAGAAAGGCAGTTCCATTGAACATGAGATGCTGCTCTACTGCCTTTCAGATGAAGTGGGCCAGCTTGTTTAGGAAATTCTTTTCACGGGTTCGGACAGCTTTGGAGAGGGTAATTAAGCAGGGAACCTGGCATCCATCATTGATTAAATGTTTAAGTGGAAGTCCACTTAATGGAGAAGCAGACCAAAGTTTAAAACACAGGGCAGAGAATCTTTTTAATTTTATGAAGTGGTTGAGTTGTTTTTTGTTCTTTTCATGTTACCCCTCTGCTCCATATGAGAGAAAGATAATGGCAATGGAGTTAATGCTGATAATGTTGAACGTTTGGCATATGCTTCCTCCTCAAGGAAAGTCTGATTCTTACTCTTCTGAAATCAGTCTATATCCTTATAGTAAGGGGCTTATCTTACCTGAATCCACTTTGCTTCTAGTTGGATCAATTATTGATAGTTGGGACCGACTTAGAGAGAGTTCCTTTAGAATACTGCTCCACTTCCCTACTCCAATCCCAGGAATTAGTAGTCCAGAATTGGTCTGTGAAGCAATTATATGGGCTAAGAAGCTAGTTTGTAGCCCACGTGTTAGAGAAAGTGATGCAGGTGCTCTGACTTTTCGGCTCATATTCAGAAAATATGTTTTGGAACTTGGTTGGGTTGTTAGAGTATCATGTAATGTTGTCACACAGTCTCCATCTGGGCTGTCAAATGGGGAGAATCTGGAGTTTACACCTAGCAGCCCTGTGATAGAATACATAACATCACTTATTGATTGGTTGTGTGCTGCTGTTGAAGAGGGGGAGAAGGATCTTTCAGAAGCATGTAAAAAAAGCTTTGTTCATGGCGTGTTGCTTACTCTTCGATATACATTTGAGGAAATGGATTGGGATTCCATAGCTGTTGCATCCAATATCTCTAGCATTAAACTTCTACTGGAAAAGATCTTGGCTCTTGTTATGCGAATAACATCTTTGGCCCTGTGGGTGGTTTCAGCAGATGCATGGTACTTACCAGATGAAATGGAGGAAATGACGGTTGATGGTGCTTGTTTCTTAGAGAGACCAATTGAGATGGATGTGTCTGCCTCAACACCAGATGATGAGATGAAAATTGCTAAAGCTGAGCAGGATGATGGGCCCATGGATCAGATAGTTATGGTTGGTTGCTGGCTTGCAATGAAAGAGGTAACTTTTACTTTCCCTTCTCTGCACATAGTGTAAATACTAAGCGTTTGGTTCAAATATTGGAATCAGAATGGTAATTGGAATCAAATGCTTAGTAATGGTAATGAGTTTGAGTAGAAGAAGTCTCTTTGTTTGGTAGTAAATAGGAGTTGAAATCAAAATAAATAATTAAAATAAAAATAAATAAATATATAAAAATATATACTCCGTATATATGTGTATATATATATTAAAGTTCCATATTTAATGCATAGAGCCATAGACAATGACCTTTATATTTTTTAAAATTCGTTTCTTTCTTATTTTTGATTCCATTGTTCAAAAGTAGGGGAGTAGAAAGTTAATGAGTTTTATAATTACTAAAGGATTTGAATCCAATAGTAGGATATCAAAAGTAGACAAACAAACATGGTAATGGGTATCAAATCCAATAGTAGGGTTCAAAAGTCCCTAACAAAACACCACCTAAGTGTGTCTTATTTCAACAAAACCTTCTGCATCTTATTCCAAAAAAACTTTTTTTTTTTTTTTTTGGCTTTTCTTGTCTTGTATGTAAGAACTAATTGATCATATATGTAATTGTGTGTCCAGTGTTATTTGAAAAGCGTGGTTTCAATTTTATCTTCTATTCATGCTTTTCCAGGTGAGTCTTCTTTTGGGAACAATAATAAGAAAGGTTCCTTTGCCTACCTCTGATGTACCAAAGTCATGTTCCCAAATTACTGATGGTACTGATCAATTGTCATCTGACATAGTCCTTGATTTGAGGCAACTCGAGATAATTGGTAACCATTTCTTAGAAGTCCTTTTGAAAATGAAGCATAATGGTGCTATTGATAAGACAAGGGCTGGATTTACTGCTCTTTGCAACCGTTTGCTTTGTTCAAATGATCCAAGGTATGTTTGTCCAACTCATGAAAGTAAACTTGCACTAATTGGAAACACATAAGATGCAAATAGGCCTTGTTTCTCTTAGCAAGACAACAGTAAAAACAAAATAAAAAGAAATTTTCTTGTCTGCATTGTTTCAGAACTTTTATTGTCTTTGTTATAAACAAAGATTGGGCTATAATGCACATGGGCCAAACCACACTAAAAGATTGAATCTAACCAATTAACCTTATAAACTCATATATTCTCTCTTATTTTATCAATGTGGGACTCTTAACAGTCTTAAATCTGCTTAATCTTGATATAATCATGGGAAAATGGTCAAATAGGCCCTCGAACTTTAGCTTAAAAGTCAATTAGGCCCCTAAACTTTTTAAAGGTGCAATTACATCCATCAACAATTCATTTATGTGCAATAAAGCCCAAAAACAAGTTAATGACCTGCTATCACAGGTCATTAGGGTTTAGGCCACCTTCCGGCGAATTTTCCGACAAAAAAAATGTGACCAGCAACCGATCCAGATTTGCCGAAAATTTCGCCGGTCACTTCTTTTGTCGAAAATTTCGCCGGTCACTTTTTTTTTTTTGCTGGAAAATTTGCCAGAAGGTGGCCTGAACCCTAATGACCTGTGATAGCAGGTCATTAATTTGTTTTTGGGCTTCATTGCACTTAAATGAATTGTTGATGGGTGTAATTGCACTTTTAAAAAGTTTAGGGGCCTAATTGACTTTTAAGCTAAAGTTCGAGGGCCTATTTGACCCTTTTCCCTATAATCATTAAAAAGTAGGCATACTGCTTTCTTATATGATCAATTTGAATAGGAACTGGTTTTCATTTGAGAATATGTTCCTTCAGATGCTGGAAAGCCATTTTCATTTCAAAACTAGAACATCAACGGTAGTTGCAAATGAATTACTGAATTTATTGACTCTCGTTTTACAGGCTATGTAAATTAACAGAATCTTGGATGGAGCAACTCATGGAGAGAACTGTTTCCAAGGGACAAACAGTGGATGACCTCTTAAGGAGAAGTGCTGGTATTCCTGCTGCATTTACTGCATTTTTCCTCTCAGAGCCTGAAGGTGCACCAAAGAGGCTTTTGCCAAAGGCATTGAGATGGCTAATAAATGTAGCTAAGAAATCTTTAACAGATAAAAATAAAGAAAATAGTTCTTGTTCTGAGTCTAGTTCAGCCATTGATTCAACAATGGTACCTGATGTGGCTGCAATTGAAATGATTTCAAAGACTAGAGATGAAGGTGTTGTTCCTACTGTGCATGCATTCAATGTCCTTAAAGCCGCATTCAATGATGCCAACCTGGCGACAGATACATCTGGTTTTTCTGCTGAGGCATTAATCGTTTCAATTCGATCTTTCTCATCTTCTTACTGGGAAGTGCGAAACAGTGCCTGTCTTGCATATACTGCTCTGGTTCGGCGCATGATTGGGTTTCTCAATGTGCAGAAACGTGAATCTGCAAGGCGTGCCCTAACTGGACTTGAATTTTTCCATCGGTATGATCTGACTATCATTTTTCTTGTCTTCATTTTATTTTATTTTTTTCAATATCTATGTATCCAGGGTTTGCTCCCATTTTTATACTTAGTCATTGAATAACTAAAATTCAATATGTACATGTTCACATGTTTTCTGGATTCCTCATGAATATTTCGTAGTAGCTTTATTGTGTATGAAGATCAGATGTTAATTAGAGTACTAATTTATTGATATTCTTCTGAGGTCTCCCATCTCAAACTTTTATACTTGTTTGTCTTCTTGCAACACAGTCATAGCTGTAGATCTCTTTATACTATCTTTTTCAAAATTCTTTCCATCCCTCGTCAATTGTCTGTTAAACCATATGCTAGACATTTTTTGGACAGAGGTGTGAACTTCAGAAATTTTTGTATTGACTCCATAGATTGGTTCCTCTTATGTTCCATATTTGTATAAATCCAATTGCTTTCTTCAAACCCTTGGGATTTTCTGAACTGGGACTCAAATGCTTGATTTGAAAGAAAGGAATCATCATTTACCTATTCCCAGAATGGGTGTTGTTATGTCATACAGGAACTAAGCCTTTATTCAACTTTGCAGGTACCCGACACTGCACACATTCTTATTTAATGAGCTGAAAATTGCAACTGAGTTGTTTTTGGAGGGATCTTCTGAAAATTTAACATCCAACCTGGCAAAAGTGGTGCACCCCAGTTTATGTCCTATGCTGATTCTTTTGTCTCGGCTCAAACCTTCTCCAATCACATCTGAAACTGGAGATCCATTTGACCCTTTCTTATTCATGCCATTCATCAGGAAGTGCTCACTCCAAAACAATCTTCGAATTCGCATTCTTGCATCTAGAGCTCTAACAGGCATGGTTTCCAATGAAAAATTGCCAACTGTCATCCTTAATATTGCCTCTGAGTTACCTGCTATAGACAACCACAGCATGACATCTGATTTGTCGGGCCTTTCCAATTTGAATGCTTCTTTTAATTCAATTCATGGAATGCTATTACAGCTGAGCTCTCTTCTGGATACCAACTGTAGAAACCTGGCTGATTTCTCTAAGAAAGAAGATATTCTTAGTGACTTGATTCATGTTCTTGGTAAGCATTCATGGATTGGAAGCCCCCAAAAGTGTCCTTGCCCAATTCTTAACTGCAGCTTTTTGAAGGTTCTTGATAATATGCTCAGTATTGCTAGAACATGTGAAATGAGCAAATGTATTAGTGTCATTTGGAACCTACTATGGACCTTATCATCAGAATGCCTGGATCTATATACTTCTAAAAGGCCAGCATACTTTGATCCAACAATTGCAGAACTCCGCAAACAAGCTGCAAGTTCATATTTCAATTGTGCTTATCAAACATCTAAAGATGTAAATGAAGAAGATCTGATATATCTGAGAGGTCCTCCACCTGATTCAGAATTGTTTAAAGAATCTGAGACACAAATGTCTGTTACCAGATTCCAAGAGAGATTGATCCGATCTTTATCTGATGCATTGTATGAAGTTCGAATTGCAACACTTAAGTGGCTTCTTCTTTTCCTGAACTCACCAGAATCCAGAACTGCTGAGAGCAGCAACAAATCTCAAAGTGAGATCAAACTGCTTTGGTTGAGCAATATTGGCCTTCAGGCTATGTTGATGCAGCTTTTGGCTGTGGAGAAGAATCATAAATGTATGAACTACATTTTAAAGATTATCTACACTTATAACATGCAGCAATATAATAAGAATTGTGGACAACACGAGAAACCTACTTTTGTTGGGAATATGGACAGTGATTCAGTCCTCCAGTTCTGGGACAAGGTGGTTTCCTTGTACAAGGTCACCAGACATGCTAAGACTCGAGAGATGCTTGTATGCTGCATGGCTGTATGTATAAAACGATTAGCTGACCTGTTTACAAGCTCGATTTGTAGCTTGGGAAACGAGAAAGTAGTGGTGGTCAACCCTTCTGATCCATCTAAATTATCTGTTTTCAGTGAGTGCATAGACTACTTTGTCGAAGTAATTCAGGAGCATAGTGATGCATCAGAGCCTATAAACATGCGTAAGGCAGCTGCCCAATCAATAGTAGCATCTGGTCTGCTGGATCAAGCTCAGGCTCTTAGTCCTTCAGTCTCCAATCATCAAGTTCCTGATGGTAACAAACAGAAGGATGCTCTTCATCTGTATGCTCATAAGATACTGGATTTGTGGTTTACTTGCATGAAGCTTCTGGAAGATGAAGATGATGGACTTAGGAAACAACTTTCTCTGGAGGTCCAAAAGTGTATTACCTCTGGAAAATCTGGAAGCCACTTTTCATCTGGAGTAGTTCCCATCCAAGTGGAGAAAGTGATTGAGATGAGCTTTGAGCATCTATCATCTACTTTTGGTCACTGGCTTGACTACCTCGACTTTCTTTGCCACTGGGTTCAAAGTGCCACAAACTCTGCCTGTGCGGTATCAATAGCAGATCCTGTGAGACGTGTCTTCGACAAGGAAATTGATAACCATCATGAAGAAAAGCTGTTGATCTCTCAGATATGTTGTTCCCACCTGGAGAAGCTTCCAGTTTCAAAACTCACCACTGAATTCCGAGACAACAATATCTGTAGTGTCTTGCAGAGTTGGAGGAGGAGGTTTTGCCAACAGTTGATATCATTTGGTAACGCTTATATTGGCACACAGGGAGGAGTTGACTGGATTGGTGGTGTAGGAAACCACAAGGATGCCTTTTTACCCGTGTATGTGAATTTACTCGCATTTCATGCCTTGTCAAACTGTATTCTAAGGGGTGAAGCAGAAGATAGCAAGTCCATGGTTCCTGAACTCCTTGAACTGGGAGAGGCTATACAACCGTTCCTTAGAAACCCTTTGATCTCTAACCTATTTGTTTTAGTCGTGAAGTCACATGAGAAAATCGCGGGTGGGGCTGTTGAACACTTGGTCCTGGAGATCAGTGGAGCTTACTCTGCCTGGGATGCTTTTGATCCATACTTTTTGTTCAGGTGAGAAACTTGTTTTAATTTATTCAGATTGTACTGTAAGCTGTAGCTGTTTTATATGGGATGGGGTGTATATGAACTATATGAAGACTGTTCCAGCCATTTTTATCTCCATCTTTGAAAGGGAAGGGGTAGGTTGTTGGTTGAAAGTTTCTAGGCAGTGTACTACTGGCATTCATAGTTGAAGTAATTGAGATGGTTTGCCTTGATTCTACTATTATTTTATCATCATTTCTCATTTCCTGAGGCTGAGGTTTCAATCCTGTAATGTGGAAAAGGAAACAATATACAGCCAGCTAGAGTCTTTATAATACCTTTTTTTAATGAGTGACTATCCTGTGAGACCGTCTCACAGATTCTTATTCATGAGATGGATTGGATCAATATGAAACTGTAATACTTATACTGAAAAAGTATTATATTTTTCTACAAAAGTATTACATTTTCTCTTATAAGTAATAAATATTTTATTTATGATTAGTATTATATTTTCTAATATTAGTATTATATTTTCATCTCGACAGTTCGACCCGATTTGTCTTACATTTTTTTTTTTAATGCGATAAACTTATTCTACCACTCTCGTAATTAAATAAATAATGATTAAGATTGAGTTGGAAACTTAATCCAAATTTCATTGTGATTGAATTTTCTCCAAAGACAAGCCAATGAGCATTTTGCACCACACATCAACAAGATAAAATCATAAATTTATCACAAACATTAAGAACCTTAAATTGGGTTTCTACCTCTTTTTGCAATAATCACAATAATACCATCTAGTTAGATTAAACAACTCTAACCCAAGTTCTAAGTGGAACTACTCACACATATTTAACATAAACAAAACAAAATCACAAATGGAGAGCATAAATATGAGACAACATAAACAAAACAAAATCACAAATGGAGAGCATAAATATGAGACAAGATAAAATGAAAGGAAAGAAATGCTTATCTATTGAAAGTAGATGAACAACTCCAAATTTGGTGGTGAAATCTTTGATTACAAGCTTGAAAATTGTTAATAAGACAAAATCTAATGCTAATCTAGACCAAAGAAATAAAAGAAAATAAGGTAGGATTCTTTAGAGTTGGAACTCTCTTCAAAATGACCAAAAACCAACTTAAATATATTGCATAATTTAGAAGATTAATGTAAATATGTGAATAATTTAAGATAAAAATACTATAAATGTATAATTTGGGTGGAAAGTGTCATTTTCCCATAATACAACTATAATAAGAGATATTTTTAAATGGTAAAAAAAAAAATTATCTTTTGTCTCATTTTGCTGTCCTGTTTATTATTTATTTGTCAAACCAATTCTTTTTATTTTCTTTAGTAATTTTTAATTTGATTTTTTTTGTTTAATAGTACTTTTAAATTTTAATGTAATTTGTCAAACACCTTGTGCTCAGATGACACTTCTGTAACTCTTATTGAGTGAAGGTCACAGGTAAAGAAATTTTTTTAATATATTAATACTAAATTTAATATTATAAAAAAATAAAATAAAAAAATAAAGTTAATGGAGACAAACAAAAAGGGAATGGATGGTATATTAATTATGCCAAAATCTCCGTGTCAGCAACTCTAGCCTCTATTCTGTGTTGTGTATCTCCATTCTCCAGACTCCAATTCTCCATTCATCCTCTCTTGCTCCGTTAATCTAGAAGAAGAAAGCGCTTGCATTTCTGTAGGATTAGTCGTAAAAACTGAGCAATGCAAGTAGTAGTAATGACGCATGGTGGCCCAGCAGGAAACGGTCCTCGTCTGTATGGTGTTGGAACTCGAATTGGACTTCCCTCGAACAGGCATTCCTCACTATTTAGCCGCCGGCAAATCTGCTTCGACGGCGTTTCCACAGTCTGCTCGGAGACTCCTTCCCCTTGCGACACCGTTTCCTCTACTCCCCCCAGGTACTGTGCACTGTGCACCATCACTTCATATGCTCCATGAACAAGTTACGGAGAAATTGCTATTAAATTATTTGATTTTGTGTTGTGTTGTTCCGCTTGTATTTGTAGGGATAGTGGAGACAAGTGTAAATCCTTGATTAAAATGCTTCAGAGGAGTCTCCCCTTGCCCAATCGTAGGATGCTGTTAGCGAGTTTCTTTATGTACTCAATTTATCACCCTTCAAGGTATTTGTCAGGTTCGCACCTTTTTGGCAAAGAGCTTGCTTGCTTGCTACATATTGATTTTATATTCATGACTTAGTAAGATTCTAACACTAGTAAATGTGCATCTGGATATACACAGCTTATGCTTTGGGGGATCCATCTGTGACTGTTGAACAAGTCACACCTCCTACATTTCCTTCTGGACCTCTTTCCCCTTCTGAGGTAAACTGTTCAATGCTATAGCTTTTCTCGTTGTCTTTTCGAAATTCAAAACCAATGCATATGTTCTTCTCAGGAAAGAATTGTCCAACTCTTTGAGAACAATACTTACTCTGTTGTCAACATATTTGATGTAACACTGCGGCCAAGGCTTAATGTTGGCGGTGCAGTCGAGGTATCATTTATTATTGCAACAATTTCTATTTGTTCAATATATTTGAGTTCCTTTCAGTTCATATTAAAGCCACATTGTTACATGTGATGGCAGATTCCAGAAGGAAATGGTTCTGGAGTTGTGTGGGATGGTGAGGGGAACATTGTCACAAATTATCATGGTAAGTCCTTTTGGAGAAATAGTGATTTGATTAGCTTGTTGTTAAACTAACCATTTTACTTTGTATTGCTCAGTGATTGGTAACTCTCTCTCCAGAAATCCAACCCGTGGGGAAGTAGTTGCACGGGTTAATATACTTGCTCCAGATGGGTGAGAGGAAAGATTATTAACAATTGCCTTGTTGGCATATTAGTCTGGATCATCATTGCCATGTGAATCTGATGATATAGCTCATTTCTTTACCCCTTTCTAACCTTCATCTTTAAATTCTTCTTTGGAAGGTTGCAAAAGAATTTTGAGGGTAAATTAGTTGGCGCAGATCGTTCTAAAGATCTTGCTGTCTTGAAGGTAAATTTCATTTTAGATACTATCTTTGAAGATTCTTGTGTTTGTGACCAAGTTTATTTTGGCTGTTCAATTGTGTACTTGTTTTTATTGTTGAAGATTCTTGAGGGTTTGTTTCCTAGTTTATTTTGTCTGTTTAGTTGTGTTCTTGTTTCATCTCAGATATTTTTTGGATCCATAATTGACCTTAGCTATAAATGAAAGTTATCAACTTGGTGAAGTGAAAAGTTATGTTTTGGGAATTTTATGGAAAGCAATTGATCTGCAATGTGCCATCATTGAGATCATTAACTGTATATACTTTGACATGCTAGGTGGAAGCCTCTGAAGACCTGTTGAGGCCAACAAAGATTGGGGAATCATCTTCTTTAAGAGTTGGTCAAAAATGTTTAGCCATTGGGAATCCCTTTGGATTTGATCATACACTCACTGTTGGGGTTATCAGTGGTCTAAATCGTGATATATACAGTCAAACAGGAGTCACAATCAGTGGAGGAATTCAAACTGATGCTGCCATCAATCCTGGAAACAGGTATCGCTTTACGCCCTTACCTTCAGACATCTGATTTCTAATACTAACTCTTGATGCATTTTCTAAAATGATTTTCTCTTTTCATTCAGAGAAATTTTCAATATTTCTTGTGCATAAAGTATTTGTATTGTTATTTTCCATTGTTGCAGTGGAGGCCCTCTATTGGATTCAAAGGGAAACTTAATTGGAATTAACACTGCAATATTCACTCAGACAGGTAAATACTTTGCCTATTTCTAAATGTTTTGTAATAAGAGAGACACAAGTGTGAGAGGAAAAATATTTTTAGTTCTTCTAGTGTACAGAGATGTTGGTTTTCTTGAGTGCATAAATCCCCCCTCTTATTTATTTATTTTTTTTAATTGCCAAATTTGAATAATCCTTTCCCTTGATACTGCCAATTTTGTGTGTGACAGGAACATCAGCAGGGGTTGGGTTTGCCATCCCATCTTCAACTGTATTAAGAATTGTGCCTCAGCTGATCCAATCTGGAAAAGTATGCATGCTGCTGTTTTATGTAGCTTATTCTTGCAAGCATTTTTCTCAAACTTTTTCTCTCTAGGCTTGCCAGTTGCGAGCTCTGTTCTTTACTTTGCTTGGTAAGAAAGTAGTACCAAAAAGGAACCGCCTTCTTATTATGCTGTCTTATGAACTTTAGGTTGTTCGAGCTGGTTTAAATATTGATATTGCTCCTGATGCAATTGCCAATCAACTCAATGTTCGCAATGGAGCTCTCGTTTTGCTGGTAGGGCATCCAACCTTCTGAAACCTGCCATAAGCAAGTCTTCTCTTTCAACTCAAATTGTTTTCTAATCATCACACCCCACCCTATTTCGTAGGTTCCTGGAAACAGTCTTGCAGCCAAGGCTGGGATTCTCCCCACCACAAGGGGCTTTGCTGGCAATATTGTACTTGGGGATATCATTGAAGCAGTGGACAACAAGCCAGTGAGTTGTTCATTACTATAATTACTTGACCAGAACCCCATTCCTTCATGACATCAATGTCTGTGATAATTGTGTCACAATAGCAAAAATTTCTTATTATTTCACATTTTTGGGTTGTAGGTCAGGAATAAAGCTGATTTGTATAAAGTGTTGGATGACTACAGTGTAGGGGACAAAGTCCAGTTAAAGATCCGAAGAGGAAATGAAAACGTGGAGCTCTCTGTAGTTTTAGAGGAAAAAGAGTGACGAAGCTAGGTGCCTCCTTGGAATTGATTTCACATATCCCGCTTAATCAGAGTACATCTATCCTTCCCTTTCTGTACATTTGATCCATTTTTATTAAATTTGGGCCATTAGAGTATATAGGCTTGTGTCATTGAAGAAGTGAACTGGAAATATTATACTGTTTTGCCTCACTAGAATTCCAATTGGTTTATATCAACTGTCTTAGAATGTTCACCCAAAAAAAATCACAATTATTGCTGGGTGTTAACAGACAACCTATCAATTTGGAGTAGCATATTTCATTGGAGAAAGTGATTGGCTTGTTGGACTGTTAGGCCATCACGCTATTTTATTCAACCCGAATTGATTTCTTATTACAAAGAATTAAGATTTAAGAACATAGGTTTGCACCAACATCCTCCTATGCAAGATGTATCTAGTTCGAGTATCAGTTATATACACTATATATATATATATATATATATATATATATATATATATATATATATGTGTGTGTGTGTGTGTGTGTGTGTGTGTGTGTGTGTGATTGTTGTTTTCTTGAGCTTTTGACTAAATCAAATTTCTGTGTGTACAAGTGTCGGTTTAAAGAATTTATGATGTTGTCAAGTTTAAAGAATCTATGAAAAAATAATGATGAGTAGTTGCTACACAAGTTGTAAAATGTAAAATAGAAATCTTTATTGTTTTCTGATGATTTTGAAGAAATTTGATAGAGAATAGTGTATATGAATGTGAACAGGCCATCACCTTAATGATGCTGTTCATATCACCATCAATGGATGGTTCTGTATGTCTTATTTGCAATGTATTTTCGTTCAGTAGTATATTATTTGTATTGCAATCTGGAATTAGCTAGACAGATGACTGATGACAATGGAAAACTACCACATATTTGTTCACACTATTTTTGTTTAAAAAATCATTTTATGCATATTCTGTTTGTCCCCATTAGAAGTTGAGGTAATGTTGGGGAAACTAGAAACAACATTATTTTATGATTTTAAGAATTAAGAGTAATTAGTCTCTGTTAGTCTATCAATCAGTTGATATATATATATATATATATATATATATATATATATATATATATATATATATATATATAATCAGGTGAAAACCAACTTTAACCTGCGAATTTGTGAAGAATTGCACTGCAACTATTACATGATCGTACTGTTACGGCTCCCAGACACGCCTGGAGGACCTTTCGGTGCAATTATATCTGGGTGCGATGTAAATGTATAGTAAATGCGGTGTAATCCTTCACAATTTCGTAATTCGTAGGTTAAAGGTGATTTTCACCTTATTATGGACCTATATATATGTGTGTCACATGATTTTTAAGTTTTAACCGTCTTAAAGTGCAGAGCCAATGAGATGATCCAGGTAGGCCATTAATCGGTTGCTGGGACCAAATCCTGAATGGGGTCTCAAATAATTATTTTGTATAATTATATAATAATTCTTATTCACATCAAGTCACTATAGACTAAATTTGAGTCGTGTTTATCACTTTATTGGAGTTTTTTGCACTTTTGGTTTCACGACTATAGTGATATTATTAGGATTAATCCACGAATTTCAAATCTTGCAGTCTCGGTGCTGGAGTATTGTTTTTTTTTTTTTTTTTTTACAAAAATGGTCCTTTCGGCCCATTATCCGTCAATTTCTCACCGGAGTAAGAACCGGCAAAAGTGGGCCAGAAAATTGATGAAAAAGTGACTGAAAGGACCACTTTTTACAAAAAAACAATAGTCGTGGACTGAAATTGCAAGATTTAAAAATCGTGGATCAATCTTGAGAGTACCACTATAATCGTGGGACCAAAAGTGCGAAAAACTCTCAGTTCAATTACTACTCATAACACTAACATAGTGTTTGGTCTACAAAATGAAAGTAGAAGAAATAAAAATAAGATAATAGGAAAAATATAATAATAAAAACATAAACTGTAAATGTTATTCTATTATTTGGTTGAGTTACAAAATTGCATAATTTACTAAATAAATAAATATATAGTACTCCACTACTCCGTATCAAAAAAGTTTGGCTATTTCAAATGAGATTGAAATAACTAATAGGGAAATTTGTAATTTGTGCCCCTCACAAATATGCCAATTATAAATGTCACCTTTAAATTATTAGTGGTATAAATGCTGTCCATCAATGTTCAAAATGTGACATATATTGCCCATCTTCTAACAGGAAGAATGAGAAACATTGATGTCGGCAGAAGGAGAACAAACGAAGAAAGAAAAATGGTCCAAAAAAAACATTGGCCCTGTTTGGAAAAATAGTTAGCCTGTAGGTCAATTTTAACTTATTTGACCACTATTAGTTGTTTGACTTGGTTTAAAAATCAATATGGCGGGTAATCACATTTAGACTACTAATAGTTCAGAGGAGGGGCAATATATGTCACGGTTTGAAAATTGAGGGCAATATTTACACCACTAATAATTCAGAGGTGACATTGATAATTGTCATATTTGTGAGGGGCATAAATTACAATTCTCCCTAACTAATATTATGGGAGGGAGTTAATACCCGCGAGGTCTTTCGAGTATAGTGACATTGTTACGTTTAGTCCTAAAGTTTTAATTTAATTATTCGTGATCCTTCAACTTTTAAATTTTAATTAGCCGTGGTCATTCGTAAGGGCAAAGCTAAGACCAAGGCTGGTTAAAAATTTGAAAGTTGAAGGACCATGGTGATTAAATTTGAAAGTTGAAGATTACATGTGGCCAGCTTGTGTGCGCTCCAGACTTGTTCTTGGCAGAGGTTTTGGCACCCAAGGAAGCCTTAACTTAGTTCAAAGGACTGAGGCAGAATAACATTATATAGAATCTGATTGTTTAAATTTCTGTAATGCTTTTAATTCTTGTTTGGTAGATTATTCATATGTTGGCATGCTTGTGAAGCAATGTTTGTCAATTGCTTGTGACATAGGGAACGTTAAGGTTCACCATGTCAAGAGATCAGCGAACCGCGTGGCTCATGTCCTAGCTCGGGCAACCGGTTCTTCGTCTGTCTCAGGATCGTGGGTTGTTATCCCACCTACCTGTATTTCGAGTTTATTAAGTTATTAATGAAGCTTGTTTTCTCGTTCAAAAAAAAAAAAGGTTATGATTAAACGTGACGGTGTAACTATATTTGGTTGACCGATCTAGTATTAACTCTTATGGGAAGCATTGAAATGATTGTTCTTATTGCAAAGGAATATTTAATTCAATAAAAATTGGAAATTCTATTCCATAATTTTTAAAATGAACCAGTGACAGAATAAGTCTATTCTATGAAATATTAATATATTTTCAGTCCATTCCAAGAATCAATCACAATGTAAGTTATTAATAATTATGATTAATCGATCAATTTCAGTAATTTATAGTATATTTTACTACTTGCTTCTACGGCTTCCTACTCTCCTAGCTAGGAATCTTGAACACATTCGATATCCTTCCTTCAATCAACGGGCAAATTATTCTGTGGACCCGGGTCTAAATGTTCACAATTTACCTTTTAAAAATTTACAATTTGTATATTACGAATACAAAATGTTAACATATATGTAATGGATTACTTTGTTTTGTATTCATAAGTTCCTTTTAAATACTGAAGTCATACAATATTAACAGATTATGATTTGTTGACCTTGTATTGTATTCACAAATTCCATATTTTTGACTTAGAAACAATTTATATTCTAGAAATTTACAATTTCAATACTAAAATACACAATTTATACGTCGTTTAGTACCAATGTCCACCTTGCAGGGTGGACCCTGGCACATGGTATAACAACTCTGTACAAAAGTCTCCAAACGGCTACCTTAGTAAATAATTATTTGGATTGTTTGGGTAAAGTAAAATATTGGTTAATTTATTTTAATTCGCTATAATAATTTATGTTAAAAAGCTTGATTATTTATTTTACTTAGACTCATTTTTAAATTATTCTTATCCTTTTTTCGCACATAATTGGATACAACCGTTAAAACTTAACTTTATAAAGCTAGGAAAAATGACATTTTTTTTTTATCATTGAATTCTTTCCATAGCCATTTTCACATTTCTATTGTTACCCTTGTGGTCTTTTCACCCATGATTGTAATTTTATGAATCAATTGATTTAGCCCGCATGGGTAGCTCAACTGGTCATAGAGATGAAAGTTTGAAAGAATGACCAAGGATCGAGTCTCACCAACCACAGTGTGGAAGCAACCTCCCAAAGTGAGGAGGGCTCTTTGTGCAATTACGGTATTCTATATATGGTCGAACAAAGAAAATTTTAATCTTTTTTAAAAGTTACTGGCTCTATTACATTATAGTATCTGTTCATATACTTTCTCAACCTACTGAAACACAAAGAACCAATAACGCCTCCATTGAGGCTCGAACTCATAATCTTCCAAATGAAAGTCCAATCCGGGTACCATTAGACCACATAGTCCTGGTAAGAAAATTTTAATCTAGATATAGTTGTACATATGATTTTACTAAAAAAAAAAAATACAAAACACTTTACGCTTTTTCTTTTCCTTGTTGAGTATGAAGCAAAAAAAAAAAAAAAAAAAAAAAACTTTGTCATATTTTAGATATTTATTAATTCCTTTGCAAATACTTTGTATTATTTTGGATATTTATCTGTGGTGAAATCAATTTCACCATCAAACAGCACGTAAGAAGGATCCCATACTAGCCTTAAAATATTAAGAAAGCTAAGGATAATAACTTCATTAGTTTCATACATTATATGTAAATGATGTCCAAGCAGGGTCACTACAAAATTACTATCAAACATATAATATAAAACATGGATGTCACTCTCAGACTTGTTACATTAATAGTTTCTTTTAAAAAAAAAATTAATTACAGAATGACTAGTATTAGACTCCTACCTTCACACAATATCTATAATCTATTCCTTCATGTATTCAGATTAGAAGAGATTGGAGAACATAATAATTAAATAAGAATTTGATTCTGGGTTCATACTGTCCATATTGTTTACTTATATATCCTAAGAAAATTCATTAAGAAAAAAAAAAAAAAAAACTTGAAAGCATCAACTGTAGCATGGTGATACAATAATTAGTTTTTATGAGTGAAAATAAGTGTCTAATATTAATGTTTAATGTTAAAATCTTGAAATAAATTTTAAAAAACATAATAACAAATAAAAATTTTATTATATTGAAAAATATTGTCATGCATTAACCATTAAGTGTTTTGGAAAATGAAAGAAATGGTAAAATTAATAATTATGATAATATTTATAATTGATAATAATTTTGATATGACTAATTCATTATTGTTGTAATATTTTTATTTATATTGGGAAGAGGATGTTTACCTTTAAATATTATTATACGTTTACATTTAACAAATAAATAACCATTATTAATCAGTGTTACATTGAAATTATATATATATATATATATATATATATATATATATATATATATATATATATATATATATGGGGCCAAGTTTCAGTGGGTCAAGGCTTCCCGTGCAGTCACGCACCATTAGGTATGCATAAACGCATCATAGAGTGTTCGAAAACACACAATGAGGTATGGTGAAGTATGATGCATTTTTAATGTGTGGTACGTTTTGTGGTACATTAATACATTTCACTATGGTGCATTTTTTAATACTATTGGTACATTTCTGCATACGTAAAGGTGCATCTTCTGGTGTGTGGTGCGTTTCCTAGTACTATTGATACATATTCACATATTTAATAGTGCATTTGTACCGATTATACGTTAAGTTTTGATCGCATTTGAGCTGAGATATATGCACTCTAGAATAATCCGAAAGCTCACATTCCTATGTTTGGTTCACATTATCTCAGGGAATCTAACATTCCCCAGGAATGTCACATTCCCTCCACATAGGATTTTGAAGGAAATGTGATTCCCTTCAATTTATAAGGTTATGTAAGATAACCTTGGTTATGTTAGTTTATTACACACACACACACACACACACACACACACACACACACACACACACACACACACATATATATATATATATATATATATATATATATATATATATATATATAATTATTTTTGTAATTATATATTTTTTTATTTTTATTATGTTAGGTTAGCATATAAAATAATTTTGTTTCTCAAGTTCAATATTTTAGTTAATATTTTAAAATCATGTAATTATATATGATACCGTTATCTTATTTATTTATTTTAATTTTTAAATTTATTAAAATATATGAAAATATGTTAAGGATATTATAGTGTGTGAATAAAAGATAACCCTAAACCAAACATGATTATATTACATACCCCAATTTTAACCAAACACAGGAATCTAACATTCCCAGTAATCTAACATTCCCACCAATCTAACATTCCCTAAGGTAATCTGACATTCCGTGAACCAAACGACCCCTAAGTTGTTGATGAGCTGCGTTAAATTAAAGCGCACTTTCTTGGGAAAGTAATTAATTATTATGGGTAGCTTACAAAGTGGATTAGTTCAAAATCTGCTTCACATATATATAACATTTGTGTTTACATACACAGATATAGAGATAAGATAGCTTTGAATAGAAGTATTTGACCCATTCTTCAACTTGGTTTGCAGACCCATGACCTATGTTTCAAATTAAGGAATTGAAGAGCTAATTCTTGGGAAATTCACTTCCTAAATCATAATACCTTGAAGATCGATCTTCCGGTTTTTATATTATATTTGCTCTCCATATAGCAGACATCAGGCTTAGTAAACTCATGTCCTACAGGATGGCTTTCACTCATTTACTCATCAAATATTAACCTAACCTACCAACTAAACTAATTGTAAATTTTCTCCGAAATTTATATACTAAATAATTTATTTTGTATTTTAAATATGTATATTAAAAACCTAAATAAAAATGGTGTTGTGGGGTTACATATATTATTTTAAAGGGAAAAGTGTCAATTTGGCCCCCTAAGTTGTCGTCATTCGAATAGTGCAATTAGGTCCCTTAAGTAAAAAAAAAAAAAAAAACTTCATTCAGATCCCCTAAACCTGTAAAAAGTTCAATTGAGTCCAAATTTATCTGTATAGCAGGTTAATTCATCGCCAACTTAACACATGTCGCCTTTAAAATATTTTTTTTATTTTTATTCTTAAAAAAATTATTTATTATTAAATTATTAAAAATTAAAAAAATAATAGAAAAAATTTCAGCCACGGGCTGTCAGTGAAGACAGCCGGTGGCTGCCTCCTTCACTGACAGTCGTGATTGTCTGGCGAGAGCTAGCGAGGACAGCCACGGATGTCAACATGACGTCCAAATCTGGAACTCATGTTTGAGGTCCAGATCTGGACCTCAAACGGTCGGGAATGAGGGCGGCGGCCATGGACGGCCATGGGTGTTCGCGGCTATCCCCTGACAGCCATGACCGTCTAAAGAAAAATTCAAATATTTTTTTAGACGGTCATGGCCGGTTGGAACGTGGGCGGCGGCCGCCGCCCTCATTCCCGGCCGTTTGAGGTCCAGATCTGGACCTCATGTTGATAGCCATGGATGTCCTCGCCAGATAACCACGACTGTCCTTGAAGGAGGCAGCCACCGGCTGTCCTCGCCGGACAGTCGGTGGCTGAAATTTCTTTTATTTATTTATTTATTTTAAATTTTTAATAATTTAATAATAAATACATTTTTTAAAGAATAAAAATAAAAAAATATTTTAAAGGCGACACGTGTTAAGCACCTAATTGTACTATCCGAATGGCTTAGGGGACCAATTTGACACTTTTCCCTATTTTAAATTAAAGAGAATTTTCACTGTGTGAGCAAAGAATTGGCTTTTTGAGAGATAATTTCTCAAACTTAAGTGATCATTTATAAGGTAGTATCTGTTCTATAGGAGACTCAAACTTAAGACCACCTATTTTGAAATGATAATTAAAATGTCATTGCACTACACGGTAGTTGGTATATTAATTTCTTTTTTTTTTTAATTAATATAATAAATGTTTTCTGATAATAAGTTATACATATTGTATATGTGTGGATAATTTTAATGATGAAAATTACGCAAAGTTTGTATAACCTTCATATTTATTTTGGTAATTAAATTAAGTAGCTAAGGGGGTTGCTTGAAGGAAATAAATAGCAAGTTTAACAGATACTGGAATATCTTAGGAAATGGGTTGAACAGATACTACCTGATAAAGAATCATAAGTATTTCAAAAAAAAAAAAAATCTTAGGAGATGGTTTTAAATTATTCCGCATGCACCTATTTACTTAAATTATCAACTCCAAAATATTATTATATTTATTGTTCCCAAAAGGAGGGTCCCTCATGACTCGATCCGACAAAGCATCTGGGAAGACCTTTGCTTATTGTGCACAAAAAGCCCCCTTCACTACCTTTGCTGAGACTCAATCCCGAGTCATTATTTTCAAACTTCATCCATGTAATCAACTGAGACAATATTATTATATTTATTTATGAAGAGTTGATGGCATGAAGAGTAAACTAGTAGTCAAGCAGTGGTTGAACTGCCTGTCTCTTACAGTTGGGTGAACTATACTGCCCCATTATATATATTTTTACCATACATACACTTCTATTGGTGTGCACATATATAGCCACTACTTAATACTGCTTCTGATCTGTTTGCCTAACATTGCATTCCACTTCTCAATGCATCAATTTCCAACCTATAAACCAATGCAATGATGTAAACTTCCTTTATTAGCTAATGCACTTATGAAACATATATTTCATTTTTGCTATGTGCCCTCATCAAGAGATTAAATGAAAAATCAACAAAATTTTAATATGAATTTAGTGTTGCACAAAAATAAAATCAACCCAAAGATATAATGAAGATTAACAAATTGGTAAGGACCATAACAAAATGGTCATGACGGTAAGAAATGTTTAACTATTCCATTCATCTTTATTGTAAACGTTTCAGCCTATGATTGATGAATTATGGTAATAGGATCAGATTAGAAGAAAAAGTGATGCACGTATAGTAGTGGTGTGCTGGTGTTTACTTAATTAGGATCTAAGTTGCAAAAATAATTATAATATTATAATAATAAATGGGAAGCTAAGCTAAGCTTCTCCCAAAAGGTTGAATCCCTGACCTCAAGGATCTCTCACACACCCCAGATCGATAGAGTATTTGGGAGAATGTAAATCAAGGTGACTCAATGGTTCAGCAGATAGAGCCAAATGTTGGTGCACACAAGGATATGATCTATAATCCTTAAGCTGCTACTGCTGAGGTTTGAACTTTGGTCTCTTTTTTCAAATATTGTCTACTGAATCATTGAGCTAAACTCGTGCGGGCTGGAAGCTAAGCTAAGCTTGGATAAGGGAGGAGGTGTGCGCAGTCAATTAAGAAAGAAACTTTGGCCACATTATAAACTAAAGACAAAACGACGTAACAGTCGCAAAACAATAGTTATAATATATCTTTTAAAAAACAGACTTTCTTAGCTCCGGTGTGAAAATATGGTCAAGAATTTCACCTAAATCAGCTCCTAATTAACAATACTAGGAGTATGTAGGAGATGGAATTTTGTGTCTATATATATATATGCAGTCTGACAGGACAGGTGACGTGTACTGCACATGTAGAAAGTATGAAGGAATAGAAACTGTGATTTGTAGATCCAATAATACAAAAAAAGGGTAAAATATGATTGATAGGGATGCAGATTTGGAGGCTCAGCTCCCAGTCCCAGAGGATCACCCCCACGTACCAGTTCAGAATAGAAATAAAATTTATTAACATATTGATGGAAGCATAGACAATTGGTTTGTCGTTTAGCCTTGCTTGCTTCAAAATATAAGGAGATCGAAGAAAACAATAGAACGAACATCATGGGAGGTGTGAAAAAACACATCTCCATATAACAACTCACTTTAGGGTCCCTCAACTCCCAGATCATAAATTTGGCTTTAACAAATCAAACCCCAACTTCCATTCCATTCAATAATTATATTAAAGACCAGACCCTTGCAGTTTTTAAGCTCAGCTCAATCTGTAAAAAATATATTTATATCTTCTCTGATCTTCTATTCATTCACAGCCCGGCCGGCAAGGGATCAGTTATGGACGACAAAATTATTGATGATGTTATGCTGCCTGGTTTTCGTTTTCATCCTACTGACGAGGAGCTGGTTGGATTCTATCTCAAAAGAAAGATTCAACAAAGACCTCTTCCCATTGAGCTCATTAAACAAGTTGATATTTACAAATATGATCCATGGGACCTCCCTAGTAAGTTAGTTCATTACACATATATACATACATACAATTCTCTGGCTGTTTATTTATTTGCTTATTAATTATTATGCACATGCATCCACTATATATATCAGAGCTGGCTACAAGTGGGGAGAAGGAGTGGTATTTCTACTGCCCTCGGGACAGGAAATACCGAAATAGTGCCCGTCCCAACCGTGTCACGGGAGCTGGTTTTTGGAAAGCTACTGGAACTGACAGACCAATTTACTCTTCAGAGGGTACCAAATGCATTGGTTTGAAGAAGTCTTTAGTGTTCTACAGAGGTAGAGCTGCTAAAGGCCTCAAAACTGATTGGATGATGCACGAGTTTCGCCTTCCTACCACCACACCACCACCACCAAACAAGTTCTCGGGGCATAACAACTTTCCACCCAACGTATGTATCTATATGTTCTTTAATTTTGTAGTGAAATTGTTGGTCGGAGGCTGTTAAGGGCCAAGTCCAGCACTATCTGGCTAGAGGATTGTTGGGCGGAGGCTGTTAAGGGCCAAGTCCAGCACCATCTGGATAAAGGATTGTTGGGCGGAGGCTGTTAAGGGTCAAATCCAGCACCATCTGGCTAGAAGATTGTTGGGGGAGGCTGTTATGGGCCAAGTCCAGCATCATCTGGCTAGAGGATTGTTGGGCGGAGGCTGTTATGGGCCAAGTCCAGCATCATCTGGCTAGAGGATTGTTGGGCGGAGGCTGTTAAAGGCCAAATCCAGCACCATCTGTCTAGAGGATTGTTGGGCGGAGGTTGTTAAGGGCCAAGTCCAGCACCATCTGGCTAGAGGATTGTTGGGCGGAGGCTGTTAAGGACCAAGTCCAGCACCATCTGGCTAGAGGATTGTTGGGCGGAGGCTGTTAAGGGCCAAATCCAGCATCATCTGGCTAGAGGATTGTTGGGCGGAGGCTGTTAAGGGCCAAGTCCAGCACCATCTAGCTAGAGGATTATTGGACAGAGACTGATAAAAGTTAAGGCTCTTGAAAATGGGATGACCCGGTCTATAATATAAGCAAATAAAGTTGTGCCCTTTATATATATGTTCGTTGTTGGAGGTGCAGGATTCTTGGGCGATCTGCAGGATTTTCAAGAAAACGAATTCGATGGCGAATAGAGCTAATTTTGCACACCCATGGGTGAACGTACTATCTGAAGCTTCTCCAGAGGCATTATTATTCAATCAGTTTGGTTCAGAAAACATGTCTTCTTCTTCTTCCATTACACCTCTCCAGCTATCCATTAACAATGAGTTACAACAACATTTCTCTGCTCCTCCTCTCAACACCAATATTCTTCTTCCCACTTATAATAAGCCTGCATCGTCTCTTTTTTCAAATCAAAGTCATAGTCCGAGTCCTGATGAGCTTCCCAGCAGCTGCAGTAACTTGATGGTTCCATCATCATCATCCTCATCATCTCTGGCGGCTTCCGTGCTTTTCGACACACCACCCACCTTATTCTCTCCTCTCAATAACACTACTGCTACTTCAGATCACTTTGAACAATCTCATCATCAACACTTGAACATGGATGATGATGATGATGAGGCTGCAGTGGGGTTAAGGAATATGAGATCAATGGGGTTCCCTTTCAGCTTGGCATCTGAACCATGGAAGCAATCTACTTTTTCCTGGGATTCTCCAACCTACTGACATATATACATAATTTGTGTATACATACATACTCTTAGAACCCGCCCTGTATGTACTGCAAACCTTCTCCATCTATTGTACAGTTTTATGTTACTCCTTTGTTTGCGTCCAATCCATATATGAATTTGAATTGGGCAAATTATCTCTCATGTCGATCTCATTTTATTCATTTTCCTGTCTTTATTATTGCGTTAAGCCTTTTGGCATCTTGTCACTCATATTTACGCATTTTGCCTCGTCTTTTAACTATTGTGTTGGCCGGTCAGCCATTCACTAATCAAAAGTTGTAGAATCAGCCTTGACAAACAATAAAAGTCAATAATGTAATGTAGTAAAAATGAAAGGGCATAACTAAATATGACTATATCATAGTAGTCCATGATTAAAAATAAAATTTGCTATCTCAAATATTGATTACAAACGGATGAAAGACAATATAAACTAACTAAAAGCCACGTACGAATTGAACATTCACTTATTCATATTACTTAGCTTTGAAATTACACAAAAATTATTTATTAACTTCCCAAAAATCTTGTTTTACTGCACGACCCAAGCAAGTGAGTAAGGAACAAAAATCATACTTCCACATTAGTTAAAAACCATGCCATAAAGTTTTTATTGTACTAAAAACCAATTAGAAACTCCTATCGGGATGCTCTAAGACTTTTACTAGGCTACCATATTAAGAATAAGTTTTCCATTTATATTTGTGAGTCAAGATGGCCGAGTTGGTCTAAGGCGCCAGTTTCAGGTATTGGTCCGAAAGGGCATGGGTTTGAATCCCATTCTTGACAACACATATTTTCCTTACCAAATGGTACTCAACACTGTCTTCCCAAAATTGCAAACCTTTTGTAAATCAAGATAACTGAGTTGATCTAAGACCCAGTTTAAGTACTAGTCTAAAAAGGCATGGGTTTAACACTCATTCTTGATAAAATATTTTTTTCCCTCCAATCGGCATGGGTTCAAATTCCATTCTTGACATATTGTCTTCCCAAAATTGCAAACCTTTTGTAAATCAAGATAACTGAGTTGATCTAAGACCCAGTTTAAGTACTAGTTTAAAAAGGCATGGGTTTAACACTCATTCTTGATAAAATATTTTTTTCCCTCCAATCGGCATGGGTTCAAATTCCATTCTTGACAAAATATAATATTTTTTCTCCAAACGGCATGGGTTCAAATCCCATTCTTGACAAAATAATTTTTTTCTCCTTGCTATAATCCCATTCTTGACAAAATATTTTTTTTTCTCCTTGCTATTTTCCCCTCCAAATAGTAAGTCACAAAATGTTTTTTTCTGGAAAGTGACAAAATTTTTAAAAATCGTATCTTTCCCAAACTGGGCATGGATTCAAATCACATTCGTGACAAAATATTGTTTTTTCTGGACAGTGACAAATTTTTTAAAAAATTGTGTCTTCCCAAACTTGCATACTTTGGGGAGCCTATTGTCACAGACTCGTTTCTCCTTACAACGTTACATGCGGCCTCTCGTTCGACCCTCGAAAGTATGCTGAGTAAACGGTGGGATGACTAAGAAAACAAGTAAGGATATCACAAAGTACTTAGAAAGTTTCGAATGGAACTTATATTACTTGTGCACTTGAACTTTGCTTGGATGAGTTACAAATGAGGCCCCTTGAGGGGTATTAATACCCATTCCACATCCTCAATGGACGGTGGAGATTGAATTGATCCTACAGCTAAGATTTGTTCTTTAGAATCCTCCATACTTTTCTATACAACCAAGAGAATTCGGCAATGTTCTAGAATATTCTAAGGCTCTCTACATCTTCTAGTGTTATGTACATGCTTCCAAACTATTCTACAAGTTAAGGGATAATATGTACAAGCTCTAGAAAATTCTAAAGTGGCGTGACAAACCTCTGAATCTCATATGAAAGCTGTCCTAGCGCTACACTATACTACATGGAATAATACATTACATTAAACACAATTTACAATTTTTTAAAAACACACTAATAGTACTCAACACTATGTCTTACATTCTTAGTCACACATTACATTACACAATTCAATAGGAGGGGCCTTGACCAAGTCACCCTGCTTATATATACATAAGATGATAGAACTTCCACATTTAATTTGCACAAAGGGTCCTTTTCCGCGAAAGAGCATTTTGTAGGCCTAAACTTTTTGAACGAATAGGAGTGTCCATTGGACCCTCCCTCAGACGCAGTATCGGACGCCGGTGGCTGCTCCGCCGCGGCATGCATGGAAAGGAAATCACGAAGAAATTGAATCATGCCATAAGAGCCAAAGGAAAGTCAAGAAACGAGAGCGTTTTTTCAAATAGATTAATTAACTGAAGTATTTTTCTTAAAGATTTTAAAGTTTGTTAATTTATATTAAAACAATTTTATTTTCAAAAAAAAAAATATTAAAACAATTTTTTCACGTAAAAAAATAACTATATTTAAAATTTCAAATGTGATTTATTAGCAAACACGAGACGTATTACACCCAAAACAAGAGTCATAGGCAAATTTTACTGTGGACCATGGTATATGTAGCAATGTGGTCCATGAAGTAAGTAACATTCTAATTACACGTCATTTCTTTTGGCAATATACATGATTTTTTTGACAATATACATTATTGCATGCACTGTTGTAAAAATCGATCTAGGTGGCGCCCCTAGGCCATTCTGCTTTCACTATTACGCGCCCAAAAATCGGTCGGGCGCCTAGGCGGCGAAATTGGCCGAAATCGGCCTAGTCGGTCGATTTCTTCCGATTTCGTCTGGTCCAGCCGTCCATAGATTAATTTGATACTTTGAATCTTTGGATAATTGAAGTATTTGAGTATTTCATATTTGAGTATTTTTATTTTTTAATATTTTTTTGATGTTATGACTTATGAATTATCATTATTTTATTTATTTGGACGTGTTATTTAATTGAAAGTTGAAAACAACCTCATTAAAATTGTCAAATTGCAAGTCTCCCACTATTTTTTTGGCGCTCGTCTAACGCCGCCTAGGCGCTGCCCGGGCACCCAACTAGCGTCTACTGCAACCATGATTGCATGAGTTCTATTTTGTAGTTTCATTTTCCACACACTAGTTTAATTATAGTAATATTAAAGTATTATTTTAATTATACTCTAGGTTCATTTGACAAAATATGTTATTGTATGATTCTAGATTTTAGTTTCATTTTCCACACACTAATTTCATTATGACAACATTAAAGTATCATTTTAATTATACTACAGATTCATTTGACAATATGCATTGTTGAATGAACTCTATTTTTTAATTTCATTTTCCACACACACTAGTTTCATTATAACAACACTGAAATATTATTTTAATTCTACTACAGTTTTATTTGACGACCATGCTCCACATAACACAACAATAGTCCACTGTATAAGCAAATACTGAATTGTGCAAAAAGAAATGTAAACAGTTCAACCATTGGTGGGTGAATTTAACATACTGTCCCAAAAAGAAAATGTTGGACAGAAAATTTTACGATCAGCAGCGCCGCCGTAAAGTCATCTCCTCCCAGAATAGGTGAAAATTTCTGAGCAAACCTCAACTTTCAAAAGATGTTGAAGAGCAGACCGGCATGTGCACCAAAGAAAGGAGCAAAAACTAGAGACTCGACAGCCATGAGCTTGATAACAATGTTCAACGACGGCCCAGAGTGGCCCAAGAGTTCTTGCGTGCTCGGAAGGCCCCAGCCTGTGTATCCAGAAGCAATGCATCTCATTAGAAATGCTATATTATAACTGAACCATAACTTCATAAACCGTTAGTTTAGTTTACCTTGATATACTTCTTGGCGTTATCCCAGGCACCACCAGTGTTGGATGCGGATATAGCAATCTACACAAGCCCAAAGACAATGTGTTAAGGCAGGTATTTTGAGATTTTAGCATTCGAAAAGTACCTGCTCTTAACACAGGTATTTTAGAGCATTAATTGTATCTGTTAAGGAATCTTTAAAACATTACCTGTACACCAGAGACGAGGGATCCAGCAAGGACACCAGAAAAGGTTTTCACGCCAAAGAAGAGCACCAGGCGGGATCATCTCCTTGATAGAGGCATCAGTGGAGATCTTAACGCAGGTGGCATAGTTGGGCATGGCTGTGCCTTCCGGGTGGCATTCAATTGCCTGCGCACTTCCTCAACCATCTTAAGAGCAGCCTTCCCGACACTCTTCATTGTCATAGCAGAGAACCAGTAAGGAAGCATTGCACCGACGAGCAAACCAATAAACACTTTAGGTGTCAGGACATCAACAGTTGAAATTCCAGCCTGGCTCACATATGCACCAAACAAAGGCGAGAGACACAAGGGTAGCAGATCCGATGGCTAAACCCTGAAAACAAAGACATCAACAGGTTTTTTACATTTGATTCTTGTTATAATATAAGATAAGATTGGGCTAAGGTCATCCAATTGGTCTATAATGCACATGGTCAAACCACACTAACAGAATGAATCCAATCAATTAACTAGTCTAACCTATAGCCTTACAAGGACTCTTAACACTCCTCCCCTCAAGTGGAGGACCGGACTATTTTGAACCTAACCAGTTAGACCACTTAAAATTGGGTTAATTGAAACTAGTTTAACCCATAGCCTTATAAGGACTCTTAACAATTCTTAATCATGCTAATCAAAATAGGGCTCTATCACTGAAATAGACAACCAATTCCAGAAAGCTGTTAACTTTCCGGAAGATCATCTAAATTAGCTGTCTATATGTGAAACACTAATGTAGGAGACCCTACTAGGGCCGGAAATCCCGGAATGCAAAAACAGTTCACCTTTCCAATAGCTGTGGTGTTTCCAGCAGCACCAAGGGCATCGGTTCTCATGGATTCTGTGGCTCATGCCGGCCATCTCCGCAATTCCTCCAGCATTGTCACTGATGGGACCATATGCATCAATAGCCAAACCAGTAGCAATAGTACTCAGCATTCCAAGGGCAGCAACCGCAATGCCATACATTGCCACAAAGCTGAAGCTGACAAAGATGCTGATTGCTATGGCAAAAATGGGAATTATAACTGATTTGTAACCCAAAGCAAGGCCAAAAATAACATTGGTAGCAGCTCCAGTGCGGCACAAATCAGCAACATCTTGCACAGGGCTGAAAATAATAATTGGACAAGAGTTACTAACTATGAGCACTACAAGCTTACACAAGCAAAACAGAATGGCTATGAAAATAGCTTACCTGTAAGCATTGCTAGTGTAATACTTTGTGACAAACCCACAAGCCAACGCCAACACCAACACACAAGAACAACTGTCTGCAAGTGCACAATAGTTGTCACTTGTCACCATGATATTCAATTTCCATAACTCTATAATTTTCCTTTCCAAGATGGAAAGATAGCAATTTTCTGCAGTGCTTATTAAGAAAAAATCTTTAAAAGAGTGTCACATGAACAAGTGAGTGTATTTAAGCAACTCCCCAAAGGCTTAAACAGTAGCAATAGGCTCACCAGCTCTTTACTGCTTTTTGAACTCCAAAGTTGAAAATGGTGAAAGAAGACGGGCAATCCAGGTAATAACGGCAATGCCAACCATCATCAGAGCCGTGGAGATTATGAGTTGCTTCTTCAATGCTGGCTAAATTTCTTTTACTCCCTTGACTTCAAAGAAATCAGTCGCAAATAGGGTGGTGAGCAGACAAACAAGGATACCCACAGAACTAACGAGGAGAGGATATAGCATAGCAGTCAACTCATGGTTGACCCCAAAGGAAGATATTGAAGCAACAACAAGGGCAGCACAAGATGATTCTGCATATGAAGTTATGAACCAAACAAGTCTGATCCCATGCCAGCAATATCTCCAACATTATCACCAACATTGTTAGCAATCACCTGGCATACATTTAGAAGTTAAAAAACAATAACAAAAAAAGTTTCGAGTGTGCCAACATTATAGCCGAGATAGCAATCATACCGCTGGATTTCTAGGATCATCCTCGGGGATGTTTCTCTCAACCTTGCCCACAAGATCAGCTCTGAAATCTGCAGCTTTTGTATATATACCTCCACCAACTCTGCCGAATAGGGCCATAGAAGATCCACCAAGACCATATCCAGTTATAGCCTCAAACTTCCCAATGATCACCATAGTACAACTTGAAGAGATTGGTAGCAATGTACAACACCAAAAGACCATTAGTGGCAAGAAGGAAACCCATCACAGCACCTGATCTTAAATGCTGTGATGAAAGCCTTCCCAACACCCTTTCTAGCCTCCAAGGTAGTCCTGGCATTTGCATAAGTTGCAATTTTAATTCCAAGAAATCCAGACACTACTGAAGTAACAGCACCTGTTCTATGATACCATCCTTTAGAATGGCAGTCACAATCAGGCATAATTCTTGATCTACAAAAAAGTTTAGTGTCAGTGATTCTTCATTACAATACCACCGAAACAAGCTTGCACCTGAGGGAATATGGACAGTCTGCATTCAAGAAAACCCATCACTCTGAATTTGCAGTCTAGTAATTTGGGAAACAGTGTCACAAGGTAATGCCATCCATGAGAGATCAGAAATGCCACCCTTTAGCACGCCAGTATCTTTGAGCATTTTGGTTGCTACGGGCAGTTTTTATCTTCAGGAAAAGCTTATAAGCAGTCTCTATTTTATTCGATGCCAGCAGTTTGTTGCTCAGTTTGCTACAAATAAGCTTGCTCGGGTAAAATCCCTTCTGCAATGCTTCCTCCATTACAAGGACAGCATTCTCAAGCTGCCCTATGTTGCAAAGTCCATTGATGACATATTCATAAACTTGTATATCAGAAGAATAGCCGCTTTCTTGCATCTCGTTCCAGATTTTTAGTAGCATCCCGCATTTACCAAACCTAGAAAGCCTCATAAGCAACAACTTAAAAGCACTCGGTGATATCACACATCCAGCTTCTCTAGCTTTCTTATAAATCATCAAAGCAGCATGAGGCGGTCCATAGCTACATAAAGGCTCAAGAAAATAGGTTACAGTTCCAGTACTGGGAATTATACCTTTGCCTATCATTTCATCAAACATTTCAATTGTATCAGCCACTCTTCTGGCCTTGAGAAAAGCAGATATCAGCCTTATATATGTCTCCGCATTTGGCTCACAGTTGTTACTCAACATCCTTCGGTAATACTTCAAACCTTCATCAATCTGACCCACCGAGATAAAATTAGAAATCATTGAATTGTAAACCTCAGCATGTTGTATATGCCCTTTCTCGTCTAGACCTTCAAATACCTCAATTGCATCATGAAGTTGACCAGCCCTTCCTAAACCTTCAAGAACATAACTATAAGTCATGTTATCTGGATCAAAACCATCTTCTATCATATTTTTCAAAGCCGTCTCAATTTCATTAACTCTACCAAATCTTGCCCACCCACCAATAACTATACTATAGGTCATACCATCCAAGGCCACTCTCTCTTTCATTTTAACAAGCAAGGAACTTGCAGCACCCACATGTGATCTCCTGCACAAAGACTGCAAAAGGACATTCAAAGCCTCGGTATCGCATTTTAAACCATAGTCCTCTAGTTTTCCATACAATTGGATAGCTTTTGAGACTTGGCGGGCTCGAATAAAACTATCCAAAACAATGAAAATTGTAGTTGAAGTAGGAGTGATCCCCTCGGCTCTCATGTTTTCGAACAATGCCATCATGTGTGTGAAAAATTTCCTTCTTCCTAATGCTTTAAGAATCACATTGTAAGTATTTGCGTCTTTTGCTATAGTTTTCTGCTTCATCGCCCAACTGAAAAACGTAACCATGGCCTCACCTCCTAAATTTCCTCTATTCACAACTTTAGCTACTAAATCGAGTGTTGGGTCTAGACCAATAGAAGCTAATGCCCTCTCAATTGCAGATATCCCGCGGAGTTTCTGAAGAAAAACCCCTCGGAACTTATCTTCGGGCGGTAAAAACCCATCAAGGGCCATAGTTTCCGATTGCTTTTGTGCGTCAGACGAACTCACTGCAGTGGATTTTCGAATTGAAGAGATGTGACGGATTGGTAAAAGCTCGGACAATTGATTTAGGATATGGGATTCACCGATGTGACGACAATCGTTTTCAGTGTGACCCTCGGATGGTGGTTTGTTCTCCAGGTGATTAACGGGAATGTCGATGGTTGAAAATGGAAAGAGAGAAAACAGTGAGCAGCGATAGGGAGGAAAGAACCTGGTGGTGAAGACGGTGCCAGTGAAAATTCTACCGATGAACATCTCGCCGACTGTTGGCCGAGAAAACCGTCCGAGTCGGAGGAGAGCCGCGAATAAGAAGTCAATAACCAATTGTTATATGATGATGGACCAAGGTTCATATTCGTTCAAAAATGATGTGTTTACAGTTAAAACATTATGCATCTATTAAAAAATTGAAAATACATAATATAGTCAATCTTACAAAAATCGCGTCTAGGCGCTAGGCGGTCGGCGCTTTTGGCGCCTTAAGCGGTCTCCAAGCCCTTAGCGATTTTTTCAACATTGAAATATAGTAATTACAAACACATAACATGATAATTACATACAAATAAATTGTTAGCGGTAAATATAGAATATTTTAACTGATATTGGTTAAAATGTTATGTGTGCGTCTAAAATTAACATATTCGTCATCTGCCATTAATTAATAATTTATGTGTATAGAGTTATCATGTTATTTGTTTGCAATTTGTTTACAGATATAAAAATCATTAGTTGTTGCATATACAAAGTTTGAACGAAATGGGCCAGCGCCATATGGTGGGGCGGGCTAAAAAGCCCACCAAAATACAGGCCTAATAGAAGCCGCCCCGCCTTAAGTCCGCAGGCCTTGGCGGAGGCCTGTCAAATTTTAAAAATTAATATAAAAAAAGATAATAAGTGTATACTAAAATAATTTGAATAGTTTAAACATATACGGAGTATTGATGTATTTGTAATTTTTTAAACATAATAATAACTAATAAATAAGTCCATAAGTAAATAATAAATCATTTATACAATATACTTGTTTTTTAAAACTTGATTATATATATATATATATATATATATATATATATATATATATATATATATATATATATATATATATATATATATATATATCCCGTGGGCTAACTCACCAAAATACGGGCCCAAAATATCAAAGCTCACCCATCCTTTTTTGAGGGGCGAGACGGGCTAACTTGGCAGGCTAAACGCATTTTGACGGCTCTGGTTATTTTTGAACCAAAGTCCACAATACAAGGCAAATCCTGGTCTATAGGGTAATTTGCCATCAATAACATACGTTGCATACATAAATTATTCTGTAGACCTGGATCCACCTTGCAAGGTGGACCCAGGTCAAAATGTTCACAATTACATACTAAAATGTTCACAATTTACCTTATAAAAATTCACAATTTGTAATTGATTACATTGTTTTGTATTCACAAGTTCCTTTCAAATACCGAGTAATATTAACATATTAGGATTTGATGATCATGTATTGTATTCACAAATTTTCTTCTACTATTGTTATATGTTTTGACTTAGAAACACAATTTATATTCTAGAAGTTCACAACTCCAATACTAAAAATACATAATTTATACGTATATAGGTATAACAACTCAATAACATGGAGCGTTATGCTGTGCATCCGTATGCACCATGCATGGTGCATGCGGATGCAAAACGACGTCGTTTTGGTGTCTAACTTAAAAAAATAAAATAAAATAAAAATTCAGAATTGCGTAATTACACATCTATAATTTCACTACACTTCCATAATTGCATAACTACACTTCCAGAATTGAATAACTACACTTCCAGAATTGCATAACTACACTTCCAGAATTGCATAACTATAATTCCAGAATTGCATAACTACACATCCATAACTTCATAACTACGCATCCATAATTGCATAACTACACTTCCAGAATTTCATAACTAAAAATGAATAACATAATGTTGTTGCTGGGAATCGAAACTGATTTTTTTTTTTTTAAGTAGGGCACGCGTTTTATGCAAAACGACGTCGTTTTTGCATCCGTATGCACCATGCAGGGTAGGGTGCATACGGATGCACAACATAATTTGCCCAATAAGGATCGTTATGCTGTGCAACCGTGTGCACCATGCATGGTGCACATGGTTGCAAAACGACGTCGTTTCATTAAAAAAAAAAAAACAAAAAAATCTCGTTCGAATTGTAGTTAACGGCGTTAGGCGGTTTTCGTTCGTATTCAAACAGTAGGATATATCCACAAATTCAGAACTATATATCCATAAATTCATAACTATATATCCACAAATTCATAATTATATATCCAGAATTACATAACTCCATATTCAGGATTCTTAAAGTGCTTCAATTTCATTTTATATACATTGCAGTTTCATTTCAACACAACTACAGTTTCATTTCGATATAACTACAGATAGATAAAATGAGATAAGTAAAGAAGAAAGACTTAATTTAACTAATGAATAGTACATAAGATAGATAAAATGAGACAGATGAAGTATTAGAGGCAAATTATGTTGTGCATCCGTGTGCACCATGCATGGTGCACACGAATGCAAAAACGACATCGTTTTACTTTAAAAAATCATTTTCGATTATCGTTAGTTACGTAAACATATGTTCATAATTTTATAATTTCACATTATGAATGTATAGTTATGAAATTATGGATGTGTAGTTATGCAATTCTGAATGTAAAGTTATGAAGTTATAGATGTGTAATTATGCATGCAATTCTGAATGTATAGTTATGAAGTTATAATTTCACATTCTGAATGTATAATTATGAAGTTATAGATGTGTAGTTATGCAATTCTGAATGTATAGTTATGAAGTTATGGATCTGTATTTATGTAATTCTGAATGTATAATTATGAAGTTGTGGATGTATAGTTCAAATTATACACAACATAACGCCGTTAACGACAATCGAAACTGATTTTTAATTTTTATTTTTAAAATTAGACGTCAAATCGACGTCGTTTTTGCGCATAGTGCACACGGTTGCACAGCATAACTACTCAGTATTAGACTATTAGGTGCAATAATCGGATTTGTTTTCAGTTTGCTTCCCATTTTGCTAGCTCACTATTTTTTTTTTTTTTGAGTTTTTCTTAATTTGGCTTCACCATCTTTTTATATATTTAACCCCGATAAATGCCCTACAGATAGCACTTCACTTTATACCCATTAAGTGTACCTCTTCAAACTATTTATTCTGAAAAAAGCAACTTGTTCCCTTTCCTCATGGACAAAATCTCAGTGGATACGTTGATGTACGGTGTCCAACTTCTTTCATTCAAGCTCCGGATGGATGTTCTGTGAGAGCCAATCCTGCGGCTCAAGATTGGGTCCATTACGATTCTTCTATTTTATCCATGCTCATCTTGTCTCTATCCGATGAGGTTATGTATGTTGCAGTGGGACATACTTTGTCCCGAGCCCTATGACAAGCTATTGAAGTTGTGTCTGACTCCTTCTCTCGGGTATATTCTTTGAGTCTCCTTAGTCAGCTGTAATCTTTCTGCTAAGTGGATTCCACGACGTGTGAGCATCTTGGCAAAATCAAGGTTTTGATTGAACTACTTGCTGAAGCTAGCCAGTCGATTGGTTTGGATGAACACAAGAGCCTCCGCCTTGAGTACCGCGCAATGGTCTCCCTATTGATCACGAAGGAACTTGTGGCAATTGATCAACTCAATAACTATCTCATCGCACATTAGTTCATCTATATGGATGATGTCTCTTTGGCTGTTCCGATCCCCTAGCCCCACCGTCAACAACTTTTTGCACAAAGAGGACTAACCACTGCCTCTCAACAAGAACACACTACTAATCAACCCGTGGTCGTAGTCGTGGAAATAGAGGAAGCTGGGGTTGTGGACGTGGCCGTGGCTATGTTCCAAAGTGTCAAATCTACAACAACCTTGGTCATACTACCCTACAATGTTACCAAAGATATTCAGGAACACCCGTTCCTCAAGCAAATATGACTTATGCTAATGATCTAGCCACCACCCCATTCTCTCATAATTGGCCTGACACTGGTGCTACACGTCATGCCACTCTAGACTCATCTTCATTACAGCAAATGGAAGAGTACATGGGCAACGACACTCTTCAAGTTGGTAATGGTACAAGTTTGAAATTTCTGATATTAGAGACACTTCTATATCGTCTTCCTCGCGTTCCCTTAAATTACCAAATGTGTTAGATGTTTCTAATCTAACCAACTCTCTTCTATCTGTTAAATTTTTTGTCATTGACAATAATGTTTTCTTTGAATTTCATCAATCTATTTCTTTGTTGTGAAGGATCTCACCACCAACCAAATTCCACTTAAAGGAGAAAGCTTGGGGGGGGGGGGGGGGGGGGGTGTGAAGGGTTATACAAACTTCCAGCATTCGTTATATCTTTAGAAGTTTGCACAACCGTTTCAATCACCCCCACTCTAGAGCCCTACACAACATTCTACGACATTGCACTACCTGTCAACTAGGGAAAATTCTTACCATTCGTCATGTCTGATTTGATGAGAATGCTTCACTTTTGCAGCTAAAACTCTTCCATAGGTTTCTACTTCGACTCGGAATGCCATACCATGTGTTGTCGTCAATGTACCAAGTAGAAAAGGATGCCAAGAGATCGGCATGGCCACGACACACCTTGGACACAACCGTGTCACTAAGACTTTGCCTATAGCGAGAAACGACACAACCGTGTTAACGTGAACACACTCCCTCAGCGGATTTTGCGGTTCAAAATAATCTGAACCATTAATTTCATCAAATAATTGGACATACATCTTTTAGTTCCCGTTATAGGCCTAATTTTATTAGCTCTTATTAGTATAATATATATATATATATATATATATATATATATATATATATATATATGTGTGTGTGTGTGTGTGTGTGTGTGTTATTTGTGTTATTGAATTATTCCTTTACACTTTCTTTCTAATTTTACCATTCACATTTTTCTTTTTGATATTTATTTTAACATTAGCCTTTAATTGGAATTAAAAATATGTTAGTGCTATAAGTAACATTAAATACTTTTCTTTGGTGCTATGTGTTGTACATTTATACTTTCTTACCAAATTCACCCTCAATATTTTTTTCTTCTGCTACCTACGTTTCTACCCCAACATATATAAAATACAAACACAATAGTGTGGGGAGCCTTAGGTTGGGGTTCAACTTTTTGAAAGAATAAAATACAAACACATGCATACATATGTGTCTATGTGATTTGTACAAGTATAGTTTAATCT